CGGCTACTGTGTAAACTGCCCAGATTTACCCTGATGCTATGAATTGAATTGTGTACGTGGCTGTGTGATTTGTGATTGGGGGCTGATTTGGATTGTGCTTGGGCCGAATGTGATGTGGTACTACGCCGTGTGTATGTGGCCGTGAGGTGTAGGGGCGTGGTCGTGTGAAAATGCATTGAATTCTCATGCCAAGAATGTGATTGGGTGGCGTGTTTGTGTGACGAGAATGTGAAATTGTGAAATGTGTGTGTGAGGTGTGTATGTTTGGCCGTGTGTAAGTGTGGTTTGAGTGGAACGAGGATACGGAAATGTTGGATTGGTTGGAAAGGATCCGTCCTAAGGCGTGTACGTTTATGCGGGACGATGCCGTCCCTGACGAGGTGACGATGCCTGGCCCGACGGGGTGATAATGCCTGACGTGGTCAGAAGACCGTTGGCCTGATGCGTTTTACGCGGGCGCGGTAGAAGGAAAGTGTGTGTAGAATTCCGTTCTGAGGCGTGTACGTTCACGCGGAACGATGCAGTCCCTGATGAGGTGACGATGCCTGGCCCGATGGGGGTGTCGATGCCTGACGAGGTCAGAAGACCGTTGGCCTGATGAGTTTTACGCGGGCGCGGTAGTGGTGGAAGAGTTGAGAATGAACGGGAATTGGCTTGAGGTGCGAGGTTTGAGAAAGTGACGCATGGTGTGAGTAGTGTGCGAGTGTATTTGTATCGCGTGATGTGATGCTTAATTATGGGGTAGAAACTGCTAGGCACGGTATGGGACGTACCCAAGTGGTTTCTATCTTATAATTGAGGCACACGCGCGTCTGTGATTCCTTGCTGTGATGTGTTAGCTGTATTACGGTCTAATGTGCACGAACGTGCATGATGGGTTCCAGGTAGGTTCGTGTGTGATTGTTAGATTGATTGATCGTTGTGTGAGATGCGTGTTCTGTCTGGCGGTACGTGAGTGCCTACGTGGGGTTTGGGGTTGTACACTTATTGAGATTCGTCTCATAGCTATATAATCCACAATTTCAGACCCCCAGCCGTAAACCTGGGAAGTGCGTCTTTTCTTTTTGGAAGTTCAAGGAATCGCTTTTGGTGCCGGTGGAACTGCAGGCGAGTGTCCGGAGGCTCAAGCCCGAAGAATCAGGAGCAGAACGAAAGGCGATCCTTAGGTTTTCCCTAGGGTATTTTAGGGGTTGTGTAATTGGGCTGACCCATAGGGAAGTTAAGTTAACCAGACCCTGATCTTTTGTTATGACGATAATTTCGGATGCTAGTTTGATAATTATGTCTGTAATACGATGTTTGTATATTTGGTGCTGTATGAATATGTTGTTGTTTGATTGTTTTGTTGTTCTACCCCGTTGTCGTCATCTTTCTGTCCGGGGTTTTTATATCCGCTTCCGCATGTGGCTCTGATGTTTGGGTTGGGTCGGCGACGTTCCTGGGACGTCGCAACTGTTCGACCGGAGGCGGGATGTCGCGAGCTCGACGGGGGTTCGGGGCGTGACATCAAAGCTGTTGTTTTGAAAGATTATCAAGCAAAGGCGAACTAGTGATGCTTTTGTGATAGCCTATGTAATGACTAAGGCTTAATGTTGGACTTTGATTCAATGAGTTGTATTGATAACCTTGTGCATAATTGGGACAATATTTTGCCCGTTCTGTGAAACAAGCTGGGGCGAGGAGCTCAAGAATTTGCCAATTAGTTTGCATCCCGTTTGATCCTATTGTTGTCATGGAATCGTTTAATCACATGGTTGATCTAGGTTTGGCTTACTTTGCAAAGGAACTTCAAGTTTCATACGAGAGCCCAATCAAAATGAATAGGGATTTTGCAGAGGAAGAATTAGAAACAGCTGAGGGCCATCTTGCGTACCAACCTTGAAGTGGCTCGTGGGCCAACTAGATTGTACTGAGGAAGTTTTGATGCATATGAAAATCCAAACACCTGATCTAGTCTCAACAGCACATTCCTGAATGCTTGTGAGTGTAGTTTTCTCAATTGAATCTGCTTTATGCTCATTAGGTTCTTCCTTTCTATTAATCAAATGCGTGCCTGCTGATTTTTCTGTGTGTTACCTTGATGCAGAGTTGTTTGATGCACTTGCATTCTAATGATATCACTCCGAATCTCAATGAGGCTTTGCAGAAGGAGTATGCACTGCCAGTCATACCATAACTATGAAAGACTAACTCGGGTGCTTATACTATTTGAGCTGTAGATTTCACGTGAAAAGAAGTATACAAGGATGCATGATGATAATCTCCTCGATTTTTCTAGTAATTTATTAGTGTGATAATATCCTTTGAATGTTGTCATATAGGTTTCTGATTTGATAAGCTTGGTTTTCATGTATGCGACATTGAATTTTTAAAGTTAAAATTCACCTCCCAGCAAACTATTGCAATTTTGCTAATTGGGTACTGCCAAATAACCGAGTAACAATTGCATCTTTTGAGGCACTTCACCTTTTCAGTATAATCTTATTAACAAAAATTCTGTTCCTAAACACAAACAAGGAAAGTGTTGCTAATTGCTTGCTTCTCCAATGCCTTTTGTTTTCTTTTCATCGGCCAGCTAACAAAGTCTCTATTCATTGCGGTCCACCTGCAATTGGTGCAAATGATGTTTATGCACATGTACGTTATCTTTCATGGGGTAAATTGTGATGCTACAATCTCAAATATCTCCATTTATTGAAAATTAGTTAATCCCATCCTTCTTGGGTAGATTCAAGCTGCATTTCATGAAATTCAGAGAAAGTCTCCAAACACCACAGGATGGAGATGCGGGCTGGAATGAGCCACGTAATGGTGTTCCTAGGTTCTTCAATATTGTCTTTTATCATGTGCTGCGTATTTTTAACACTCTTCATAGGATTCTTGACATAAAACGACCTCTTCTCATGGCGTGTAGTCGTCGTTTGCAAGCTTTGAATTGAGCTATACTTTGGCTTTGGCCGAATCTCAAAATGTTTGAGGGAGCCGGATGTGCAGGTGGCTCTGTATGTGAAGTTAAGCATAAAACCAAATTTGTTAACAAGATTACCGTTTAAATATCCACTTCAAAGCCGCAATCTTGTGACCGGAAGAGACTCTTTTCATGGAAAAAGCGAATGTTATGGAATCGGCAAATAATATGTGAATTGCAGTCGAGAGTTTCCATGAAAAGGTTTCCGATATGACGGAAGCTTCTCATTTGGAAGAATTTTGAATGCAAAATAAAAGTGTTCATCAGCCTACAATCATCTCTTTGATCTGGTTATGTCGAAAAATGTATACATCGGCATTTTGCAATCACTTCAATCATATAATTTTCAAACTCGGTTTATTTACACATGAATCTATAAAGTAGAAGATGCTCGGCCATACATTTTCCATACTTGAAACCAAATTTCCTTTGGCGTTTGGCTACATTGCAAGGGTGAAAATAGCCCCGCCCAAAATTTGCACTCATTCGGTTTGAATGAAAACCTTCAAAGGGTCATCTAATTGGTTAATTCTTTGACTCTGGTATGCCAAATTGTGGTCATCGGACATGCATTCGAGTTCCGATTGAAGCAATCTCAATTGTGGTCACTCTCAGATATTCCTCTACCATGAACTAGTTTACACTAATGAAATTTTAATAGTTAAAAGCTACTAGCAAGGTATACTCATAGTTTGATAAGTTTGTTGTCTACATTTTAGTACTAAAGCATATTTAATGCCGGCCATGTTAACGAGTCAAATCACTAGTTAACACATACATAGCATGAAATAACTTGGTTTCAGAATTTTGATTAGAAATAACACACAAAAAGAGGCAAGTAAAGTCAATGTATTCGATTGTGCAATTTAATCTGAAGGGTTTGACTGCATATACAGAATTAGTCACGACCTTATGGACTGAAATGATTTGAAGATGGACAACTGTGAATCGACTGAATAAAATTGGATAAACGAGTCAAACCGATTGAGCCGATTCAGTTCTATTCACGGGTTTTTTTTTCCATTTTTTCTTCCACTATGATTTCATGCTAGCGATTTGTTTGGAGCTTTGTTTCGAAAGTTTGTTCACAATTTACATCAAGATCCTATAAATAACAGCAACAAAAACTGTGAAAATTTTGAAAGGACAGAAGAAGCTTTGCTTGCAGGGCCCTTCGATTTTCCTCATTTTTTTTAACTCTGAGCTCATCGGTACGATACTAGAAAAATGAAAACTGTCCTCAAATCAAAATGAAACTATGGAAAGCCTTTCGGTTCATTTAACACCCGCGCACGACATTTTTAGATTATGTAGCTTCGGTAACATACATTGCCATATGCTGAATCGGACAATGAGGAACCGAAATAAACGAATTGAAGAAATTAGGGATGGTTAAAGAACCCCAGAAACGAGAGAAGAACATATCAAACAATTTTAATCAGCTCCATGAACTAAATTTAATCAGCTACGTTCACATTCAAATCCAAAGTTGACTATTCCATAGCCATCATCACAACAGATCAGACAATTTTCTGTACCTCCAAGCCCTGCTCCTCCATGGAATTTCAACCTGTTCAAGCAATTTGGTCGATCGATGATGCACAAGTCGGAATCAAATCAATCCGTAGTCTCTCTCGAATCTAACGTTGACAAGTCCTAGTCAACATGAATCTGACGTTGTGCCTGACCCAGGAATAATAAAACCATGTTAAATCCCTAAGTATCAAATCATAGATGCATTGCCATGTGCTCTCTGTGAAAAAATATTACATAGTGTGGATCTAAGATCCCCACTCCACTAATGACTTGAATAATGCAATCCACCAGTGCAATGCTTGATGACCAGAAAGCTGGCAGCGTTCAATAGTTGGATAACTGATGATTACACCCTAATAAAGATTCTCAACCAGTCGATTGTATCTTAAGATATATGACTTGACAAATCGAATCTGCAAGTAAACTAACTTCAGATGCAGTCATGATATGCGTTCATCACTAATTCAAAACGGGAAAGAAGAAGAAAGGCAACGTGTGCTTGTACAATTGGATTTCATTGTTAATCTTCACTGAACTAAAACAAGTAACTTTTTCTTCCTTGGTCAAGACCGGACTGTGTGTTCCCATATGCCTCTTCGGCTTATATGTCGAGCCACATTTTCGTTCCCCTCACAAAAATAATTAGTTCCAGACAAAGAACATGGCAACAGATGAAAGGAAAAGATAAACATGAGATGACAAGACCAGCACAACTGAAGAATTCTGTATCCTTAGTTAAGGACCTTTGCCTCTCCATTACCATGTGGTCTTCCAATAATTGCAGATGATGGAACCAGAAGAACTGTGTGGCTCAAGAACATGTGTAAGTCAGTACCTGTCACCCATCGAGAGAGTTTACACCTGAAAGGTTTACCTTTATGAAGAGGTTTTGAGGCAATTGTCGCAAGGATTAGAACCGTATTTACAGTCTTTCTAATCCAAAGACTTGCCAAAGTGTGCAAGTAAGGTTTGCCACCGATACTCATCCTGAAAATTTCGCAAATTCGTGTAAACACACGTTTGTCAATAGACTTTGCTCCATCCAGGTACATGGAATATGAGTTTAGCCCAAAGGTTCCATTATGATTTGAACATGTTGCCAACAGACCCATCTAATGATCCAGCACCCAGACCGGTTAATGCCAGACTAATCAATAAAACAAAGTGGAAAGTGGAAACACAAAATAGAAGCATCACTTAGTTGAGATCATTAGAGAGAAGTTGAGAACACAAATTGGATTACCTTGAGTTCACAATATTGCTGCATTTTCCTAGCTTGAGCCATTGCAGTTTTAAAGATTTCAGTTTTACATTATTGACCACTCCTTAACATGCACACAACCTTGCTGAAATCCGTTTTGGCATATAGAGCAATGCATACTGCCGATAGATTATCTCTTCCTGCCCTTTTGATTCTTGATAATAGCTTTCGATTGACTTGGATATTTTGTTGTGGATGACAAAACGCTGACCACACGCCATAAAAAAATAATTGCTGAACAAACGAAAACAAGTCGAAATATGACAAAAATATTATAACTGAAGGTCAAGTTAAATCAGAGTCATTTGCCGCTTTTACAATAAAGAAAAGAGCTTTAACCAAATCTAACTTTATTACAGCACAGCAAAGTTCCATGCATGGTAGAAAGAATTTGACTTGAACCCATACATAATTTAATAGTTTCTGCAATCAATAGCCAAGAATGACAAAATTTGGTAGGTCACTGGACCATGGAACCACCAAAGTGTACTTTCAAGCACACTATGAAACCCATCAGTGAAGCTAAAACAAAAGAAGAAAAGTTTATTAGCCGAGTATTTGCCAGCACGTCAGCTTGATTCTAAAACATAAGAAATAGGCAGAAGCCAGGGTCCATTTCGACTTACAACATCAGGTTTGTCTATTCCCATCCCAAAGGCAATGGTATCACATACAATCTGGACCTCTCCAATATGCCATTTCTTTTAAACAGCTACTCTTTGACGGGCTGCTAATCTAGCATGATAGTACACCGTTGTCTCATTCAAGTATTTTGCGACATCAACACATTCACTCTTTGAAAGGCAATATATTATGCCACAAAAATTAGCAAAACTATTCTTTAGCAGCTCTCCAAGTTGCTTCAGTGGTTCCCTGGTCTTAGCTATTACCTCATATTTTAGATTTGGTCTGTCAAAGCTTGTCTCAAGAACAAGAGCATGGGGAACCCCAAGAGCTTTTAGGATATCATGCAATGGATGTATACTTCAATAAAAGCAAACAGATTATTTCAACATAATCAGGAGGTTAATGTGTAAGTCTAGTACCTTATGAACTGACCGAGTGGCAGTTGCAGTTAAGGCCATCTCTAGGACATACGAAAAGTTCTGCTTGAGACATCCCAGTCCCCTATAATCTGGACGAAAATCATGTCCCCATTGACTACAATAATGACAACCACGAAAGTGACAACCAGTGAGCTTTACTTGTTAATCAGTAGGATGTACAAGAAAAGCTCAAACCAGTAGTACACTCCTTAAATGAGATCAAACTGGCAGAGCAATCAATGATCACACAGGTGAACCTTTGCCTTTCTCAAGTTGTTAAAATAAAGTATGAGCATTCAAAGAATAAATGGGGGCGCAAGAATCAGCTTAAGAGACTGTGTATCATGCCAAACATAGACAGGAGATTGGATCCTTATCAAAGCTTATGCCAGTTCCAATTACTTTAGGAAGTAATTTACATTGGAACTTATTTAAGTTGTGTGCTCTTTACTCAATATAATGAACAATGTGCCACTAAGTGTTCCTAAACAACGGACCCTAGATCTTTTCCAAAGTTTAAACAAGGAACACTGCATTCTGTTATATTAGAACTTCACATGGGTTTGGGCCTCAGAAGGTCTAGTGTAACACTGACAATTTAATTAGGCTAGAAACAAAGAAATGCAATAAAGTTTGGATAAAGAGTTTAAGTTAGAATATATTAAAGTTAACTTGCTTATATTTATCAGGAACAAGGACAATAGTTTGCAGTGGCAACATCACAAATAATTAATCCTTTTGAAGTAACTCTAGCATGATCTTTCTTCATGTACAAGGCATGCCAAAGATTATGCATACCTCACGCAATGAGCCTCATCAACAACAAAACCAGCTAGTTGTGCCTGCAATGCATGATGGTCGAAAATAAAAAGTTTACAAAGAACCTTTTAGAAAAAGTTATGGTGCATCAGAAACAATACCTTTCTATGCAAGCGTTTCAATATCTCGAGAAATGATGAGTTTCCCACAATCCTTTCAGGAGTTACATACAATGCTTGCACGATGGGTTATCTTTTTCCAAAAGGCAGGCAAAGCAGAAGTGGAGATTAATAATTTGACAGTCACAACACTCAGCATCAATCACAAGCCTTCGTTTACGCAAAACATTCCTTTCAACGACGCTGGATTGCTAAGTTCCACACTTTGATGATCTGCTATACTCTCAAAGTATTTGAGAAAATAGGTATTTGTACATCATCCAAAACTAAAATCAACTTCTTTATTGACCAAAGAGTTCCAATATGTGTCACACCCCGAACCCCATCGAGCTCGCGACATCCCCTGCTCCGGTCGAAATGATGCGACGTCCCAGGAACGTCGCCGACCCAACCCAAACATCAGAGCCACATGCGGAAGCGAATATAAAAACCCCGGACAAAAAGATAACGACAACGGGGTAGAACAACAGAACAGACAAACAACAACATCCTCATACAGCACCAAATATACAAACATCATATTACAGACATAAATACAGACGAACATCCTCCACCACCGTTTTAACAAAAGATCAAGGTCTGGTTAACTTAACTTCCCTATGGGTCAACCCGATTTACACAACCACTAAAACCCTAGGGAAAAACCTAAGGATCGCCCTCCTCCAGTTTGCTTCTGAATCTTCGGGTCTGAGCCTTCGGACACTCACCTGCAACTCCACTGGGCACCAAAAGCAGCTCCCCGGACTTCCAAAAAAGAAAAGGCACACTTCCGGGTTTAGGGCCGGGGGTCTGAAAGTGGCGGTTATACAACCGTGAGACGAATCTCAATAAGTGTACAACCCCAAACCCCACGTAGGCACTCACGTACCGCTAGACGAAAACACACATAACACACAACGATCGGCCAAACTAACAATCACATGCGACCCTACCTGGAATCCATCACGCACGTTCCTGCACGTTAGACAATAACACAGCCAACACATCACAGCAAGGAATCACAGACGCGCGCGTGCCTTAATTATTAGACAGAAACCACTTGGGCACGTCCCATACCGTGCCTAGCAGTTTCTACCCCATAATTAAGCATCACATCACGCGATACAAACACACTCGCACACTAACTCACACCATGCGTCACTTTTTCAATCCTCGCACCTCAAGCCAATTCCCGCTCATTCTCAACTCTTCCACCACTACCGCGCCCGCGTAAAATGCATCAGGCCAACGGTCTTCTGACCTCGTCAGGCATCGTCACCCCGTCGGGCCGGGCATCGTCACCTCGTCAGGGACGGCATCGTCCCGCGTAAACGAACACGCCTCAGGACGGAATCCTACCTCTCCCTTTCCTTAATTACCGTGCCCGTGTAAAACGCATCAGGCCAACGGTCTTCTGACCTCGTCAGGCATCGACACCCCTTCGGGCCGGGCATCGTCACCTCGTCAGGGACGGCATCGTCCCGCGTAAACGTACACGCCTCAGGACGGATCCACTTTTCCAACCAATCCTACATTTCCGTACCCTCGTTCCACTCAAACCACACTTACACACAGCCAACAACCGCACGGCCCAAACACAATTTCACATTTCACGCACATTTCACAATTCACATACACTTCGCAAATATACAGTCTCACCACACAAGCACACCACACAATCATACATATATAACACGCGATCCCAAAGCACAATCACACATTCTTGGCACGCGAACATATTGCGCAATCGCACTGCCACACCATCACACCTCACAGCCACACACGTGACATATACGACCACACGTACACAACCCGAAACACAATCCCAAATCAGCCAACTACCACAAATCGCACAATCATGCACAAATTCCCATTCAAGGCACAATCCCAATAATTAATCGCACAAATTAATTCCAATCAAACCTCAACATCACAGTTCTAATCCAAGCTCCCTAAACCTCAAAATTCTTCGCCTAATCAGTCCGCAACCACCAAATAATCAGTCACTCAAATCAGTCCCGAACAGCCCCTAAAACAGTCACAAAATCGCCTAAACCGGGTCCAAACTGGGCAGTTGCGCAGTGACAGAAATCGATTTGAAATAAATGGTAAATCAATTCCAAAAATTATGAAATTTGGATATGTTATACAAAACATCTCGAGGAACATTTTCCGTGAAGAACTAGAAACCCAGTTCTAACCGTAAACAACTCGTTTTAACACTCAAATTCAGATGAAATCCGGTTCGCTCAGACAGCCCCTCCGGCCATCAAAATACAACTCATTCAATGCCCAAATAATTTTGTAAAATCTTGAAATTTTTATATGTTATAGCCACAAATGTCCCCAACAATTTCCATGAGGAAGTATTTTGAAAATAGGCCTGGAAAAATTTATAAAAATTCGAACAGACCCAAAGGTCGGGTGAACAGTAAATCGGGCAGTTTTATTTCGGTCCAAAGATGGACTTCCGAATGGCATCAAATGATTTCCAAAAATTCCCAAATTAAAATATGTTATACTTCAAGATGTTGGGAACAACTTTCATGAAGAAACCTTCCTCAAATTCGGGCCACACAAGTCACAGTAAAAATAACAAAAACCAGCAACGCAGCAGCAACCTAACTGGAAATCAGCCAACACACACCACCGAGCAAACCAGCCACTAAACTCACCCTAAACCGAGCCCTAAACAAGCCTAACAATACCCAAGGTCCTAGGCGACATTTGGGGAGGTCACTTACCTAAGAAAGGCGAGAAGAACCGGCTGGATGGGCGGAACGGCAGCAGCAGCAGCAGCCACTGTGATGATGGGAGGAACAAAGATGAAGAGAGAGAGAGAGAGAGAGAGAGAGAGAGAGAGAGAGAGAGAGAGAGAGAGAGAGAGTGATCGTGGAAGGGGGGGTTCTGGCCAGAAGAGGGAGGAGAGAGAGAGAGGTCAGCTGGTCAAAAAGGTCAACAAAGTGTGGGTGGAATCCAAGTGTCATTAATCCATAGCATTGGACACTTTTGCCCCTAATCCAATGGCCCAAATTTGATCCAATCCAATAATGTAGGGGTAAAATGGTCATTTGTCCTTAACCCAAGCTGACCAGACCCTGGTTTAGCCTTAACCAGCCTTGGTTAAACCCCAAAAATTAACCAATTTTCGGAATTACTCAAAAATGGCCTAGGAGCATTTTCGTAATTTTTCGATCCCAAACCGAAATTCCAATTTTTGCACATACGTGTTCCATATGTGTGTGGCCAACATAATATGGCGTCGGAATCGCGAAATTAGCTTCTTAAGCCCTCGAAAATCGATTGCAAAGTTCCGGGAATAAAATAATATTATTTTTCACTTCCGAGCCAAAATTCCAATTTTCGTCCGAAACCACTCCAGATATGCGTGGCCACCCAAAAACGGCATAGGCCTCGAAAAATAACCTCAAACGGCCTCAAAATCCAACATCGGTGTCCACAGGGGCAAAATCGTAATTTTCCCGGTCCCGAACCGAAATCCATTTTTTTGCAGAAATGGTTGGCCCCAAGGTTGGCCAAGCCAAAAACGTCATCGACCGCTCAAAATTGTCACTTTCAAAATTCTCGATTCCCGGGCCCGAATTCCAAAAAATGACTAAAATTGAACAATCGCGACTTTAGCTTATCTCTTGCTAACGGGTGGCTCATTAGGATTACTCGCTCTCGACCCATGACCGACACTAAGTCAAATCACGTTTAAGTTTGCTCGAGCTAAGGCAACCTCGATCGTCATATAATTGCGAGGGTCTGTCACTAGTGCCCTTTGGACACGATCAATCAAATAGATCGGTCTCGGTTGGCTCAAAACATTCCCTCGTCAATCCATATGGTCGAAAATCGAACCAAGGTCGAGTTCTTTGGTCGTGCGAACTCAATCCCGTAATAGCCTTACCCCTAAGGTTAGCATCCCGAGAATGCGCGGGTCCCGGGTGAGATCTCACTATAGTGCATTGATCAAATTCATTTCCTAAATCCCGGGAAAAGGATCGAAAATTCAGACTGTTATAATATGTCATTTTGTCTTGAAGATAGTGGAAGTAATTGGAAAAAGTTAGGAGTGTCTATTGGACATTTGATTGGATGAGAGGCCTCATAAGCAACTTACAAAATGCTTTTGTACATCTACATTGTGTAGGTCCTTTGCTGTGTGCAAAATCACAAGCAAATTGCAAACGATCAAGGAGAGAATAAATTATATGAGAAAATAACAGTGATACAATGATTTAAGTGGTTTGGCATGTATTGTCTATGTCCATGGGAGAGCATACCATGGATTCTAAAGATCGTTTGGCCAGAAGTTGAGTGGATGAATTGCTCGGAGTACTGCTTCGGTCAGGAATATAGCATGTGGATTTCCTACCCATTTTACTGCCAAATATATTGACTTCGTCTTCACTATCAATAGAGTAATCTATCTCAAGAAAAGTTTGGTTTTTATCAGGTTGTGGAGAATCTTCTATGATATTGACAACGTGTATAACATTGCATTCACCATCTTTACAGATATCTTGGCCAAACATATCAGTCAAAACTCCACAAGCTTCTGATTCCGCAGCTTGCAAATCATCCCAATCCTCAGTATCTTGCATAGTTTCGGCAAGTTCTACTAGAAAATTATTGCCACAGTGCTCCACGGTGATAAACTCTCGACCTTCGTCGCCTTAAGAAAAACCAAAAGAAGAAAGAGATGATTTTGGGAGTTCCATGACAAACAAGAGATCAAATATATACAATCTACAATGCGTAATTTGCACTTAGTTCAGTGAGACACGATATTAATATTAATGCAAGACACCATAAGTAATTTGCAGTGAGTTCAGAAATAAGCCGGACAGTTCACTAGTAAATAGGACTACTCCGCCAAACCCACAAAGAAACAGGGACGAGATTAACGCTCAATGAACTAAATTTAACCAACTCCAGTCCCCATTCAAATCCAAAGTAACTATTCTATATCCATCATCAGAATTGCTTTTCCTCTGCCTTTTTATATGCCGGAGCGAGAGAGCGGAGAGAGATTGGAGCCATTTCCCTTTTTGTTTCTTTTGACAAATTCCGTTTTCACTCCTGAAGTTTGTTCGAAGTTCTATTTTGGCCCCCCGTGTAAGTTTTCTTGGTTTCGTTTGCCACCCTTGGGCTTGCTTGGTGGGAAGAAATAATGAAAAAAAAATATCCATCAATTGTGCCTCTGTTCAACATTTGGAAAAAGAAAATAGTCATTTGAAGTGTTAAAAAAATAATTATAGATTATGTATGATTCTACGCGTAGATATTTACATAATTTGAAAAGATTTCGATGTT